AATTGTTTATGGCAGTGACAAAAGTCCGTACTTATTTACGTCTCATAATTTAACACTAATTGTAGGAACGAAAAAATGTGAATTGCCAGTAGTTCGGTTTATTTGTTTGAATAACAATGTAGAAAAATTGCATGACGACCAATGGCTGGCAAATTGTAATTAAAGAAATTTATTGCGAAAAATATTACCTCAGCTAGGGTTTGAACCTGGACCTCCCTGCACTCTAAGCGGGCGTCTCACCAATTCGACCACTGCGGCAGGTGGTAACATTAGTCGCAATAAACAGTACTACTGATGACATCTTCGCGTTTATTTTTCAATAAGGCGTTTCATAATAAATATTACGTCGTCAATATTAAAAACGGAGGTTTGACATCTATTTCTGGGCGTCACTCGGAGAACTATGTCCGAAGTGAGACTTTAGTCCTACTGCGGTCGTTACGTCGGATGGACGTGCCATCGAACATAGTTCTCCGAGTGACGTCCAGAGATGGATGTCAAACCTCCGTTTTTAATATCGACGACGTAATATTTATTATGAACACAATCCGCTTGGTCGAAATGTCGGAGTCAAACAAATAAACCATTTGCCAGCCTAATGTCGTCTAACTCTTTTTACTACTAATTATAAGTATAACCGTTCGATTCCGAATGCTTTCCGCACAGCATAGTGTGTGATAGTATCACTTGAATCGTAAAAAATTCTTTTCGCTCTTAACAAGAAAGTAAAGCTTTTAATGAGTGAAATGTAGCTCTCGTTAATTGAATACTTATTGAGGAAAATGGTAAAATCATTTATAAAAATCAAGTGAACATACCGTCGAGGTCAATCAGGCGTGCGGTGCTTTAACGAACGCTCTTTTTACAAGAACACAAAACAGCGAGCAACCGGCAATCTTCCCATCGAGAGCTTTCGCTCGCTCAATTAATCGCACACTTTTCTCCAAGTAATCGCATCCCTTTCCGAGACCGCTCGCAACCCGCGTGGAAAAACTTGGCGTCCTGGAAATTACGCGGCAAGGCCAAGTTTTCAGGTCAAGCGTGGCCATATTTTTTGCCCGTTTTAATCCGAACTTTACGATAAGGAGATTGCATCGAACGACCCGTTATATGTCACCGCTACGGCCGAGAGTGGCCTTTACTGCAGACGATTAAGGGGCGCCTTCTTCACTCGCCCTTTTCATGAGTGCACATGTGCACACGAGAATTGAATTAAATGTCGATGGGGAGCCCGTATCGCGCTGACTAACGATACGGGAATTTTATCGGTAAATATATAATTAAAATCTTTCAGTCCAAAAACTTGGCCGAGCATCTCGTTTAGCGTCAAATTTAGGTATATTGCCCAATTAAAATTGTATAATCACATCGTGTTCCTAAACGTGTTCTTAGGTTTGCGTAATTTTACGCAAGAGAAAAGGGAATAATTGATTCGCTTAAATACGAATATACTTTTAAAACGAGACTAAAACTAAAATTTCCAAACGGTAGTACTGACGTCACAACTCGTTGGGATATCGAGGAATTTTACATCAGGAAGTGTAAATACGACAACATTCAGACTGCGTAGAAAAATATACGAGAAAATAGATTGGTTTGACAGACAATACGTGGTCGTCGACCCTTTTGTTTCGAGATCGATATGTCGCTTCGCAGCGTGTGTGTATAACACGCCCTACGTCAAGCAAGTTAGCTCCCTTAATTTTATCAACCGAATTGACATTCCCGATCCAATGTCTGCGAGAGACGGATACGCCTCACGATAAGATCGTGTGATACTATGATGAAGCACTTGTCGCCTTATCCGTCTGTTTGCTTGTTCGTGCTCGTAACGTTTCATAGCCAACAAGTTTATACCGGATATCAAGGTGCATTCATACATTTTCTATATAATCTTGATCGGTTTTTCTCAATCTTTTGAAATTTACAATATTTTTAATGTACAAAAAATTGTGAAAACTAAAAACTGATCTCACAATTTAGCACCATCATTAATATTAATCAAAATTAACGCACTAGAGGTTAGTATTCAGATTTTAAAAAAACGCTGCAGTATGCGATTTCGCTTTATTCGATTAAATTTTTAATCTCTTTTCCTCTTTTGCAAAGCAACAGTATTTAAACGCAGGAATTTCTACGTGGAAAGAAACTGTTGGAATAATTTATAGAGAAAAATATATCCACGTATCGATATGAATATAAAAAATGTTCAAATGTAGAAAATGTAAAACATAAAATATACAGCTCACACGAATATAACGTAAACCATGAGGGATCTGTTTGTATAATGTTCCACAAGCTGAGATATATAGTTGGCCGTTTCCATAATTTCTTGCAGAAAAAAAAATTTCCACGTCGATCCCTTTCAGAGCTTTTCCGCACCCTATCAGCCTGTCCTATTTCGAGAAAGTCATTGCCATCTATCAGAGCAGAGCTTTCCTCTTGTCGAGCACAGCGCGCACGCGAGAGCTATTTTTCGCGGTTTCGCGAGCAGCGGAGAGAGGAGTAGTAGGTCGCGGTACGAGAAGATGACCCATTGTACATCGCATCTCTATGCCACCCCTCCTTGTCTGCATTGCGGTCGTAGCCGCGGATGCCGAAAACGAAAGCGGGCTTTCTTTTCGTTTACGAGCACGATTTAAGAGAATCCTTCCAGTTGCTGTGGCATGATGACACGGCATCTTTTGACTTATCGCTCATTTTACGTGTCCAAGTAATAACGCTTCCCTCGCGAAACTTTGAAAAATATCAGTGAGACGAGAGAAAATGTTTCCGCGAAATAATTTCATCGTAAAATATTAAATATTCCCGTGACTTTAAAAACAATTTGAAATCTTCATTTTCAAACGCATGCCACCACAAATTAATTGAGCGATTAATTAATTTAATATTCGATAGTCTGAAACGCGGCGAGTAATTTTTTTTTAAGAGGAAATGCTGTGTGTGCGAGTGACATTTTTCTATGATATAGCACTGCCAAGCGGGAAAACTGCTGCGCTTATACCACGAAATGATGATCCATTGTACGTGCTTGCCGTAGCTTCATTCCTTTCTCCCTCTGCCTCCCCCTTCTCTCTCTCTCTCTGTCTCTCTCTCTCTGTCTATCTTTCTCTCTCTTTCTATGTCTTTTCTGTCTTATCGTGTTCTCTCGTGGCGTACAATGACGAAATTGATACCTGATATCGAGAGACCTTGCCTTTTGTAATATTTTCACCTACACGAGAAAGCTCCTTCATGTATTTTCGCAACAGAGCGATGTCCGGAAAGACGGAAACGGAAATATTCCCTTGGTGAAAATGTTCGCGTCTCTCAATAATATCGACGTCCATTCGGTTCCATTCGGCTTCGCCTATGTAGCTTCATAGATCGACCTTTTTTTTGCAAAACTTTTTCAAACCTTGAAAAATAAAATCGACTCTTTGTGCTTTCGTCGCAATGTATAAATTTGATTTACAGATCTATTATGCAAATCTATCAGTCGGTACTCAGTGTTCATGCATTAACCGAAGCGCGTATAGTAGGCTAAAATTTGAATAGGTGTTCCATGATGCAGCAACATTAATGCCATTATGTAGCGCTGAAGATTAAATAATGGGATGTGGTCAATGACGAAATATCATCGGTGATATACATTCGAGCATATATAATTGTTATTTAGAAATGTTCCTCTGGTTTATTAAATTTCCACGCAAATTTCTCGTGGAAATGGAAATGTGTGTAACATCATGATAAAGTAAAACGCGTAATGCATCGATGAGTGAAACGTACACTCGGTATTTCGAGCATAATATTCAAATAATGCACTGTTGCATTAAATTCGCCAATAATAGATAAAGAGATGTGCATGGGAAATTCGATAAAATTGTGCTAAAAGCAAATATTAAATATTGTGGCAGTGGCGAAACCTTTTCCTTTTAGTTAACTTAACAATACCTTCGTTATAACAATGACACAATTATTGTTGCATTCCAATGTTTTTGTCACAAGAATTGATTTATCATAAGCAAAAATGTGTATTGCTAAAAACTTTATCGAAGTTATACGATTACGCGGATAATTATAAAATTTGTGTGTACAAACGATACCGTCTATATTGAAAACGATCAGTCGCATTTCGTGTTTCTGTCCTAAGGGCGTTACACGCGCGCTGTTGATTTACCGGATGGACACGAGATAGTAATACCGCGAAGGGTTGGAGCGGACGGAAGTTTTATATCTCATCAAATACCTCATCACTTCGAACGGTCCTTCTATCGAAATCGAACGACAGGCGACGATGCCGTTCACTATCGCCTGCGTATTGATCACGAAGAGCACCACGTCGAGCTCTATCCGAACCATCGACTCCTTGGGCCAGGCGCAATAATCGAGAAACGTCGGGGATCACGAGACTTTTTTAACAGCATACAATTGAAGCGATTACGGGACACGCAATGCCACTATCGAGCCCGTGTGCGCGACCAAACGGAAGACAGTGCTCTGTCTACTTGTTACGGACTTGTTAGTTGAACGCCTTTTTCGCTCGATAGATTGCGCATAATTACTGTTACGTAACGCTGATTTAATCGGTTAAAATTCTATTATCTCTTTTATTATCTGATAGAGATTTTAGCATCTTTAATATTACAGTAACTTTTTCGTAAAGGAAAGTTCCCTAATACAAAATAGCGGAGTTTCTGCTAAATTAGTAGGCATCATCTGTTGATTCCACCATGAATTTATTGCCCTTGGGGGAAATCTGTTTAGTGGAAAATTGATTGTTAGATCGTGTAATCGTTGCGAAAAAAGATTTACGATTGAATTTGGACATTGAAAACCTACTATCTCATATTAGAAGTCTTTTCTCTATATATTAGATGCAAGATGAAAGTGGTTTAATTTAAACAAAATACGATAAAATTCGTCAGGTTCCTTCCGTTCCAAGTATAACAATCAAATCTTGAGGCTTCCGTTATTTTAATCTTTAGGTTGGATACATTAAAACGAAGCACGCTTGGTACATGATCGAACCAGTTGCTGGACATGACTTTACCAAAGAAAAGGAGCAACCACATATCGTGTATAAAAGGAGCCCAGATGAGTATCAAGCTCAGAGTCTCTGCAACGTCATCGGTGAAACGTCCAGGATCCTTGCCAAGCGTGCTTTGAATCCGCGGAAGAAAGTGCCCGCAAAATCAATCGAGAATAAGTCGTACACGCTAGAGCTGCTGGTCGTGTTGGACAAGTCTCTGTTGGATTATCGCAAAGAGTTCGATGTAGAAAATTACGTACTAACACTCTTCAATATGGCAAGTTAAAAGATTTACACATTTTGCATATTTGCTTCTAAATTCTTAAGCAATCCTCTTTGCTCAGGCCGCAGGATTGTTTCACGACGTCAGTCTAGGTGTACACATGCAACTGACCATAGTGAGAATTATAAGATTAGAAGTGGAGGAAAATGAGGTAAAGTACGAAGTAGAAACGTTCCTCAGAATAAAATATTGTTACTTTACCGGAGACACGCGATGGACTTTCTTCCACTTTCAATACGTTGATCATACGCTACCGGCCAATAATATAAAGTGCTTGAATGAATAATTCGAAAATCATTATGTACTTTGCCAAATTTTATTATCCTTCGTGTACAATGTGTACCTGTTATCAGGTGTCTACTGTACAATTTTGAGCACTTTCGGTGCACTTCGACGAAAGTTACGCTCAGAAAACTTAAAGGTGACATACTTTCGGCCGGTACTGTATGTCTTCTTTGCGAATGGAAAGTGTTTGGATTATAATTTATAATTTAGACGATATATTATGCGTTTAAGTTCGTGCCAATCAGACATATATTATGTTGAATACGCCGCAGATGAATTTGTCGATAAATCGAGACGCGGATGCGACGTTGAAGCACTTTCAAGAGTGGCAATACACCATGAATCCCGGCGGCGATTCCCACCCAAATCACCACGATTGTGCGATTCTCATTAGCAAGTACGCAGCACAGGCAATTCTGTCGGAAATTCAATTTAATCCTGAGATTACAGGTACTCACCCTTTTGACGATAACTTATCAGATTAGATATCTGTGTCTCGAGAAACCTCTGTGGCTTCACCGGTACATCCACGATCGCTGGTACGTGCGATCCTTTGAGAGGCGCAGCCATTGTGAGAGATGCTGGTCTGCCAACCGGTTATCATATAGCTCATCAGATAGGCCACACGTAAGCTCCTAATTAATTTTATCCGATCCGAGCTAATTACATGCAGGAAAAATTTCGAGTAATTATGCGCTCTAAAAATGGAGCAAACGTAGACAATTGTAGGACATGTACATATTATCGATCTTGTACGAAGTGGTCGCACAACAAAGTTAACTTCGTAATATTAACGTAATACTCTGTATCACATGTATGATACTTCACATACTCTTATTTCGACTAAGGAAATACTCTAGAACGGATTCTTCCACCATTCCCTCATGATTGCCTGCGCCATCGACCGGCCCCTTCATGCCAGTATGAAGTTAGTTTCCAACATTAAAAAAAAACTTCCTACAGCTTCGATTGCTCATTGTTTGTACATTCTCAAACAGTTCGATTTCTCGTTTGCACATGCTTAATTACAAAAAAGTTATGAACAAATGAAGTTTGACGAGCGGGTGCATTAGCTCAACTTGGAATATAATTAAAACCACTCGTACCAGTATAATTAATCGCAACGTATTAATCGACAGATTTGCACCTTCGCGTATTTTTCGATTCTTTGTTTGCTCAGCTACTGGATCGATCGCTCGCCAAACTTTATTCGTCTATAAACTTATTGTTTCGTAACTTTAATGTTAAGCAAAAATTAATAAAATAACAAGGTGTAGACTCTCGATATTTAAAAATACAAAAAATTAAGGGTTTGAGAATGCTACATTTGTTAGTGTGTTACAGTCTATACTATACTGAAATATCTACTACTGTGTTAAAAGAAGGGACAGAGTGAGAAGTAGATACCATCTCCATCTCTTTTTAATAATTCTGATTGGTCAACGGTGTTCCATCTCTCCTTATACAAGTAAGAGAGAAACAGTGAGATGAAAAATCGTTAACCAAACAAAATCAGAAAGAGATGTAGATGGTATCCACTTGTCCGTCTCACTCTGTCCATCTTCTCCCATTTGAGTAGGTAGTCAGTATCGTATAACGTTCACTGGTTACAGAATCATGTTTAACATATGATCAAATACAATTTCAAAACACACTTCGAACCATATTCCATTAAATAATTGACATTTCATCGTAGAACGAGAGGGATAATGTAGGAACTAGATGCGAATTAATTATTTCACGCTGAAAATTATTCGAATTGTGAGCCGAAACGTACAATTTTTGTAATACGCGTTAATTGTACTTGATCGTATATTAAACATGATACTGTAACACACTACAGCACTCTCAGGCGGTAATCTTTATTATTGAGAATGTGCAAACGGAAATCTATTAAGATTATTTTCGTTCAATTTTCTCGTTTAGTTGTGAAATTGGTCCAAAGTTCTTTCGTCAATAACTTTTGTGCTAGAAGTGCGCAATCAAAAATTTGAAATATGCAAACAACGAAACGAAGCAGAAAGTTATTCTCTTTAATGTTGGGGGCTAACTACGCATTGATCGCCTTGAAATCGCCGGCAGGAAAAAAACTCGAAATAAATTCCTAAAGACCGCTTCTTTGCCCGAGAGTGGAAATAATGGTATGCCGTGGCATCGTCGTAAATAAGTCACGGTCGAGAGCGTTGTTTAATGTATGAAGCGACTCCTCGTCGTCATGTACCTCGAGATACCTTTTAAGAGCGAGTCCGGACGGCGCGCGTGCCCCAATAAATATTCCACTCCGAAAAGCCGATTTTCTTTTTCTCATTACCAGCCTGGGTATGTCCCACGACGTGCAGCGGGAGAACGGCTGTCCCGGTATAGTTTATCACGAGAACGGATACGTGGTAACCACCGTTATGCACCCCGGCGACATGTACATCACGAAAAAATGGTCCGAGTGCTCCCGGCGCTACCTGCGCTCGTACATCGAGTAAGCTTAATGCTTGTTGCTCTTTCGCTGGCGGCTTTATTAAAGTCCGCCGGCAACAAAGCTGCTTTCCTCATCTACTCCGCGCGTTCTCTAGAAGCGGAGAGATGCAGAGTGTCTGATCTACGGCCGTAAATTTCAAATTAAATTAAGAATCGCGCTCCGGTCTCGTTGTCTCGCGGAACTCGACTCGGTAATCCGCGGTATGAAACGGCGAACGGTCACCATAAATTTCTACTGGTGTTCAAATCCACGCGTTTTCGGTAGCAATTTTTGTTCTAACGTGTCCAAAATTCTGAGGAAAAATCAATTATCGAAATAGGGAATAGGGAAGAGACAATTTCGCAAAAGCATAATTAATTCCTCAGAAATATTCCTATATATTATTTCTGAGTAGGTGAATTTGCTTTATATGTTGTGACATATGTGCAATGTCCATTCGTACTTCAGTAATACGAAATCGTCGATTTCAGGCAGGGTCTCGCGTTCTGTCTAGAGGACGAGCCGCAGGATCATCATTTTCCTGCGGTGGAAATGTTACCGGGCGTGATGTACAACGGCGACGATCAATGCCGGTTACGGTATCGACCAGATGCTCGGCAATGTGACATGGGAATCGTAAGTTGGTCGTAGATCAGAGACGCGACATTGCGGGCAAGTAACATCGCGGCGATCGCTTTGTGACACGGTGAAAGCGTAAAGCGCAATCGGCCGGTTCGTTAACGCGATTCTGATAACGCGTACGTTAACGTATCGGTAGCTTACGAGTCCGCATCGCCCGTAAACAGGCACCATCTGCCGTTCGCATCTACAAACCGATGCCTTTGCGGCCTACCTTATCCGTTTAGGAAAATACGTTCTCCAACGGTGCATGGCGTCAGATAAGAGGCCGGGGAAGTCGCGATATCGCGATCGGCATGCACCTAACTAAAACGAGGCTCCCGCAGGGATGACTGATCCTTATAGTCATTCGGGTTTAGCGAACTCAAGCTCAATGCACTGCGGATACTCGCGTATATTTATACATCACACATACACGCTGCTCCTTTATATAAGCGATAATTTAAGGAAAAGTGGGGAAGCGCGAGATGCGATCTAATTTAAAGATAATAAGAAGAATAAAAATACGACCGAGATCTAGATACGTGTTTAATACAGATAAATGAAAATAACGGGAGCTAAAGCTCATTTTTTATTTATACCTCTTAGTTAAAAAAAAAATAACCGAAACGAGACAATCTCGCCTGGTTTCCAGACCTGCGAAACACTTAGGTGCGCTATTCCGGGCAGAGGTTGCGTGACTGACAAGAAACCACCCGCCGAAGGCACCCCGTGTGGCGAAAAGAGAGTAAATTACCGCTTACGAATAAAGAGCGTAAAATAAGGCACGAAGGATGATCTAAGACCCGGAGGTCACGAGAATTGTGATGAAACGATTTATAAAAGTAATGATTCTTTAATTCCAGAGCTATTCTTTATAACAGCGTCAACTGTCAACTGTTATGAAAATTTTGTAATATTCTTTTCTTCTTAAATAATCGTTTAACTGTTTATTAATTTAGTCTTCCCTACACTGTAATAATTTGATTTTGCAAATTTAAGTAATTTTAGCTCGGGCTTCGATAATTTTATTTTAGAAAAAGATTCTCGAGTTCAATTCTTCCTTCATTTCGAAAGTAATTAACGTCCTATCGATCCATTAAGGATTTATGATAATTAATTATGCAAGTCTTGGCTGTATATCTTCACTTTAACTCATTTCAATACATTGTTCATCAAGATATTCGTTCGCGAGAATAACTGATGAATAAGTACTCGCCTTCGAGGGCCTTAAAAGCATATCAGAGTGCAGATTCGAAGAAAAATTACATATTGATCAATTAATCAAGGTCCTCGAAGACCTTTCACCGAGGGGCCATTATGTCGGAACAGTTTAAGTATCTCACGAAAGAGATACGACGAGAGTACATAGCAGAAAGCTAAAAAAGCTATCTGGATCCGCCATCAACCGTGAGTCACGCGCCCTTTCGGAATTAAAACCAGTTTCAGGCTTCAGTTGAGTTTCATTGGCCCTTAAGGCAACAAAGCACGGCAATGTTAAAGATTGCGAGCGGGTATTCGCAGATATATTCTTACAAAGTATATCAAGCTAACATTGCGCGCAGACACATCGTATAAATTCGCTCATAATAATACGTTTGTAAAGTTTGTAAAACATCGCGATTTTATACTGCTTCTTACTTGCCTCTTTACATCATGGAAGTAGGTTTAATAAGCAGGGAGCTTCTTATAGACGGCTAATGCACTTTGAAAATTAAAAGATTATTTATTTGAAACTTAATAACGAGTTAGAAAGAAAGGAGGAAACTTAAAGTAGTGCATGGGCAGTCAATGCGAAATCCGTTTCGGGACTGAAAGAGATTTACTTGAGTATATCCAGAAGCTCGTAGTTTCCAGAAGATGTAAAAGGTCGACTTGAAATTTACTGAACGAATTCGATATATAAAAGAAACTATATACGGAGAATCGGGCAAACATACATATAGCCCGCATAAAAATTCACGTATCTTGCCAGATAAAACTTGTTTCAAGTCGAGTCACGGATATTTCGGAAATCGAAACGAGGCAAGTCGGCTGAAATGTTTTTTGCGGTTGGTCAAGCATGCGCGGCTACGTGATGTTGCAAAAGGGATTCGGCAAAACGTGATAGAATGTAGATGCATGTGAGACCCCGTAATGGCCAGGAGACGAGCGGTGTCCAAATATCACACATCAGCGAAATATCAGATTTGGGTGACAATGTTAATAACTGGACCGGGCTGAAGCGTTGAAGCGCGTAGACGAGGATCATTAGCGCTGGCCGACTGGCCGACTACCGCTTCGGGGTGTCGGACACTACTGTTGAAGCTCGTGAATCTCACCGGCGAGTAATCTCTAATTACTCGAGCGAGCTTGAACAAAGTCGAATGGTCGATACCAGCGCGCGATAAATCGGACCGGCATCAGAAACGGACGATGTCCCCTTTCTTTAATCATAGATCTTCCGAGCATGCGAACGTCGGTGGACTTCCGAATGTGCACAGATGCGTTTTTTTTTTAGAAAAATTGAAAATTTTATTAGGTGTCGGCTATAAATAATAAACCAAGACATATATGTATGCATGTCCTGGTACGTACACCTTTTTTTTAAAACGCGTTCTAACCACGATCCATTGGAATATATATAGAAAAGAAGGAACGCTTGATATTTCATTTAAATAACTCGACGTAAAAAGAAAAACAAATTTCCAACCGATGAAATTTAGTGAGTAAAATTGGACGATGTGCAGAGGATTGCAAAGTTTAAAAAATTGAAATCGGAACGATAACATCGACTACGAAAATAGATTGATCTGCCTACGTGCGTAAAAATTCAGTTTGTTTGTCATGCCACTTCACAACAGCCGATGCAATCATCGGTGGAATGAAATAGACAAATAGATGCGCAATTGCAGTTCGTGAAACGAAGAGCAATTATCTCGTCGCCGGCCGAGGGCAGATTCGATGCGTTTGCGTGTTATCGCGGAATCGAGCGTATACTTTAATGCGCGGACGTTTCTAAATGGAAAAGCGAGATAGCTGAATTCAAGTAGCCGTTCCAACGAAACGGCGAGACACTTCCGAGAATTTGTACAAAATGACGAGCCGCGAAATTGGAGGCGTAAAGTACACGAATTTCAGCTATACTTCCTTGCATGTACATGCATACTAAACGCGAGATGTGTCTACGTATTTTTGCAGCTATGCAGAGTGGCAGGTGTCATTATAAATAATTAGTAATAGTTACGCGACGGCGACGAGTGAAAGGCAGAAATATTATTCCACCTGGCAGACATTTAAGCGGCTTTAAGTACGCTTAAAACTGCACAAGTCATAAAGGGACTCGATAATTATTCGCGTCGTGGAATAGCATTAGTGATTCTAATGGAACAAGACGAAGGTCTCTCGGAGCGCAAGAATATCTTCTCGCAGGACATAATAAATTTCCACCTCGCGCTTCTAAAGGACGTAGTGCGTCATTTAGTCTCGTTTGTAATGCACCTCCCCGGGACATCCTCCGTGCCTTGTCGTATCTCGTGACGTAAGTCAGGTGTCGCGACGTCGAGGGTTAACGAATGTTACAGTGGTGTTACCAAATGAAGTGCCTAATGGTTGGAGAACGACCTGGAGTCACTAACGGCGGCTGGGACGCCTGGTCGTCCTGGAGCAGGTGTTCGCGGACATGCGGCTCCGGCGTGGCGTATGCCGCGAGAAAATGCAACCGGCCGTCTCCGTCCGGAGGCGGCTCTTATTGCGTGGGTGACAGGAAGCGCTATAAAATCTGCGCCACGGACGTTAGTTTCGAGAGTCGCGAACAGCTTGCCGGTAAACGCAGCGCGAACTTACGCGGGTTTGAGTAAACATCCGACCTGTGCGACAATCGCATTTTCCGCGAGGTTGTCGTAGAAATTGAAAACGCTTTCTTCGTACAAAGAACTTTACGCGACGCGCGAAAATGTGTAATAAACTCGCGCATTAAATTTAAAAAAAATATAGACGAAAATGCAAAGTCTTAAACGCGCTGTGTCGACGTAAAGCTGTTGGAGACGGAAAATTGACGTGCATGGCATTAACGTCGAGTGTTTTTTCGCAGCCCTGCGAAATCGGCGCACCGTCGTTTCGCGACGTGCAGTGCGCCGAATTCAACGACTGGGTATTTCCAGAAGACGGAAAGGTTCATCGTTGGGTGGCGTATAATCTGCCCGAAGGTAATAAGCGGTGAGCGATCTTCGGCCTCGCGTCGACTTAGTGACTTATCTTCCCTAGACCTGAAGGCGTCCGAAAACCCCTGCGCGCTTTATTGCATGAGCGAGACTAATCTGGTGACCTCGTTGAGACCGAAAGTGGTAGACGGTACCACATGCTACAGAGGCGTCCGAGACATTTGCGTCGGGGGTGTGTGCATGGAGGTACCTTGCGACCTAGATATGGAATCCACCGCCGCTGAAGACGTCTGCGGTGTCTGTCGAGGCGACAGCACCTCGTGCACCTTGAAGCAAGGAACATTGTCATTTATGGCCCGAGCCCGTAAGAAAGAGCGTAGTATTAATATTAGAATGAAAACTTGGCATACAAATGCAAATACGGAGATTTCATTTTGTCTAGTTTTTCTGCGCGCTAATGCCATTCCACCTTTGCAAGATTTCCAAAGTAACGGTCCTTGCCGGACATTAAAGTCAACTTTTGCATTATTAAAAATACTTGTATAATATTTCAAAAACGAATGGCTGAATATTGTATTAGCGTCTTCGGATATTCAGTCTGTCTCTCCTTCTGTCAATCCCTCCTTTGAATTTCTCATAATAATTTCCTTGGCGTTCTCGCTTACTATTCCACGTCGGGGGAATTTCGCGACTTGACAAAAATGCCGATGAACTTCAATGTCGGTACAGCACGGAGAATGGGAAAGTACGCGAATGAGAACTTCCGTGAATTAAAATTCCGTCAGAGCAGAAGTATAAGGCGCGCGTTCAGTCTTGCGCTTTAAGAGGAATCCCGAGCGGCACATTGAGAACATGTGTATGTGTGTAAGGGAGAATGAGAAAGATAGAGAGAAGGAGAGAAAGCGCGCGCAATTCACGACAGCCGAATAAATCTGCATTGCGCAACAACGCGGTGCTGCGCTGAAATTGAAATTTCAACGAATAATATCGCGCGCGGCAGCTTTTTGCAATAATCTTCCGAGAGAATTTCCACGTTAAGGGTTGAAGAAGATAACAGATGTGCCGGCCGGTGCCAGGAATATTCGCGTCGAGGTGGCGGAACCGGCCAAATCCAAGATCGTGGTGCGCACCAGAGGCGCGAAGACCGTGTTGATCGATGGGTAAATAAAATTCTTTTTCATTTTTGTATAACGCGTACCTACGTAATAATCTCGAGGAAGCTGGCGCCGTTATTTATTGTCTGATTGAACGTTGCGAGCAACGTCTCTGATTCGGTGCTCTCTTCTCGACCTACTCTTCATCAATCTTGTTACGTTTATGACACACCGCGCAAATAAAGATACCAGATCTTACTCCATAATTAACAAGGCGGTGTTGATTATTTCAGCAACCGCCTAGGAATGTTCGATGTGCCGGGCTCCAAGGCGTGGCTGGGAATGATAAGGCCGAGGCAGGAAGCTTTGAATATACCGGGACCCGTCACTGAAGACTTGATTATATTGGTAAACATAATGAACGCACTCCGCTAATTAGTCGCTACTCTCGGCAAATCGATAACGTATCTCCAACAAGGTGTTCGAACGTGGACATGTGCTATCGGCAAGAATGCGCAAGTAGAAACGCCCTTAAGAACGTTTTACGTTCAACGTCAGTGTTTTCTTGACCATGCCTGGCATCTTTGATAATACAGAAAATTTCTTGCGAAAAATGTTACATCGTTGAAAACTTAAAAATCGCGTATTCGACAGTTCCGTGTACGGCCGACAACCCTTATCGGCGCGCAGTTCACAAAAGTCGAACCGTGTTAATTGACGTTGTTAATTACCGCTGGCGACATTGAAGAATTCTGATTAGATGATTTTACGTTCACTTAAAATCGCAGTATTGCTGTAATAATCAACTGCTACAACATTCAAAGGAAGCGGGTCGCGAGTCAGGTTCTTTTTTTTTCAAATATAATTCTGACTCTTGTCGACGCGACGTGGATAAAGTGCAACGTTTTACGAAATGGCTACAAAGTAAAATTTTATTTCTGAAAACGCATCTTAAGCGTGGTGCACATTTTCTTGCTCATATTAAAGTAACTAATAAATTATTTTAGAAACTAACGTTAGAGCGAGCGAGACAGAGAGATTTAATTTGAGCCTTTGGCAGTATTTTCTTTGACAGCTAATTAATCCGGCAGGTTTTAGCAAAGGAGAACGTCACATTGAAATACTCATTAGGATTGAAGCAACGTACTCCGCGCAAACCCGAGTTCTCTTGGGACTTCATCGACTGGGAGAAATGCTCGGCAGGTTGCGGCCCGGGAGAGCAGATATCGAAACCCCGTTGCATCGAGAAAATCGGTGGACTGGTAGACGATAAATTTTGCAGAAACATGAGTAAACCAACCGCAAAAGTCAGGCCGTGCAATCAAGCGCCCTGCGTACCGCGGTAATACCGTATGAAATTTGAAATATTTATGAAACTAGCAGATGATATAAAAACAAAACTATGATCTTTAACGATGCTTGATACGCGGTGGAGTCGAGATCGATTGCGTGTCAAAGGATTCACGCCGCACTCATTACTCTCATAGACAATAATGATAACATTTACATAACAATGACGTATATATCGCTCTCATATCGTCGCATTTCGTTGACCATATCATGTCCAGGACAGAATTGTCACTTTTATCTCTGTGAAGTAACGAATGGACATGACACCGCGCGATAATCGCCGTCGCCCCATCGTCGCCAGCTAATTAAAAGCCTCGCGCTTATCTTCGCGCGCGATTCCAGGTGGATCATTGGCGAATGGCAAGGCTGCGCACCGTGTACGCCAGGCTGCAAGAGAAGGCGCGCTGTCAAATGTGTACGACCCGTCGGCCGTGGCGAGCAGGATCTCGACGTGGTCGAGGACAGCTACTGCCAAGGACCGAAGCCAAGGGAGTCGGCGTCTTGCGAAGCCAGCCGACGAAGACGAGAAGACAGAGGTGCCGCCGCCGACAAACGCTCCGCTCGCCCGAGCACGCTAACGCGACAAAACGACTTCGTTAGAGCTGCTCGAGTGACTGTTAAGGCGGCTTTAAGCGGCGCCGTCGTGGAAGACCGACACCCGGGCGAAGTCTCCGCACGACCGGAACAGCCTGGGGATTCGTCCAATCGCTCTTGTTTGATCAGCAGCACCGGGTACGTTAATGCGCTGCCGGGTGAGACAACGGGCTTAGTTTCAGCGGCTCGAAATTCGGCTAAGATCGTTCGTCGAGATCGTTCTCAGATAGACAAAAGATCCGGGAATACGCCGAGCGCTAAAGAGAAGATAAATGCGAATAAGATTAAGAAGGGCGAGGTAGTGATCGATAAAGAGGACATTCGGAACCTAACGCTGACGATTATTCTGGAGCGCGATGAAAGGAACGCCGTTATGAATTTTCCAAAGGATTTTGAGCCTCGACCGCCGGAAAATAGCACGGAGTTCACCCTGGCCGGCACGGATGCTCTCAGATACATACAAAGAATTCAGGAAGAAGCGCGCGCCTCTTCCGGGCTCTCGATTTTTCGCGAACGACGTGCATGCGATACGCGAAATAGATCGATGGCGCAAATGATCGCGGGGAAGAAATTCGCGCGCTTCCCGGCGCGATGAAAGAGAAAAGAATTTATTGTTATACCGGGGGGGGACGTATGCGAATATGTATATCGATTACTCTCGCGCGAGAGTGCATACTCTCTCTCTCTCGGAACGGCGTCCGCGGCGCAAACGAGTGGAGAACGGAGCGGCGCGCGTCTGGAAGACGAATCTGCGTCGATTCGAGCGATCGTTATGCGATCTATCAAGGGGACTTTTACGAGTCGTTGGGCAGAACGACGGGCACGATGGTGCGCCGCTCTCGAGCGGTAACGTAACGCGCGGCGCGTGCAGATCGCCGGTGCTCGATGCGATAAAAACAATCGTTGCGTTATACGACCGAATTATACTTACGGCGCGCGCTTTTATACAGGCGTATCAAATTTTAACGATCGGACAGCGGCGGAGAGCCCACGTTCGATCGTTGGGAGTCGCGAGTCGCAAGATGAATCGCCCGATTAAATCAGCGACGTTGCTCGAGTCCGGCTAACGTAGCCGTAATTGACGATAAAGCGGCGATAGATCTGCCTGAGCCCGAAGATAATCTCTCAATACGCGGCGGTATATGCCGACGAGGGACGATGGGCGACATAAATTACGCTCGAACGACGCGAAGATGATGATTTCCCGCGACCCACTAACGAGTCCCGCCGTTGAGCATTGATCTTTCCGATTCATCGTTCGCGCGTGTTATTTATAGCGGGAGCGATACTTTGTAATGATCCGAGATTGCAGACGTTCGCCCTCCCTTAATGGCCCGTGTCCTGGGGGTATCGTAGGGAAATGCCCGGGCGCGCGACATTTTCTTGTACCAATAAAGATTAAGTGGTAACAAAAAAAAAGGCGCGCGGGCGAGTCATCAATCTTGAGCTTGTCCTCGTTCTACGAGGGGGTTCCACGATACGAAACGTCTGTCTGTCTGTCTACGGAGCATCGCGGACAAGCGTCATATCGATGGACGATATTTTCTCTTCGCCACGCGGCTCTTTTCGTATTACCTATACCGTATTATTTGACTTGACGGCCTTCGTGCTGTCAGGCTAATCAATCACGCGCGACGTGAATCAGCAAAGAGCAAGTCAGCTTGTAACGGAGTATGTAATGCTAGCTTTTCGATCCATATCTAAGTATTCATATATTTCTGAAACTTACACACGGCCGACAAGTATATGCCGGAGATAACGTACATTTATCGCAGCGTTTAACTACTTTTTTTACTCCGCTCAACGTCTTTTTTCCGCGGTCTCGACGAGCTGAGACGGATTGAGAGCTTCGTTGCCGGCGATAGAAACAGCGCGCGGACCCGCCGTCAGATTATGACGGGCCAACTGCTCGATAAGTCTAACCGCCTGGGCGCCCGTGTACACCTTCCGTTGCCTCGTATCGATGCCGACCCCGACGAGATCGCCGGCTTCCTGGAACGCCTTGTCCGACAGATTAGACTGAAGAGACTCGTCCATGTATGGTGCCTGCATCAGTACAACCTTGTCGATGGGTATCGAATCCTTGATGATGGATCCAGGCTTCAGCGTAGTGAATCTCTCCTCCGCGTCGCAGGTGCGCTTACGCTTGTCCTCGTTTGTCATCGCCCAGTCGTAAAGGACCTGTCGGAAGTCCCGCGCGGCGCTCGTCCCTTCGAGCTTGTCGCCATCGCGCAACTTGTCACGGGCCCTCTCCAAATAACGTGCTAGACCGAGGTCGACGAATCTGTCGATCATTCTTCGCCGATCGTCTGGTGACGCTTTCTCTTTCGCATTCACCAGCTCCTGCTCGTCGGATCGTCGAGTTTTCTTGGGACACATCGTTCTGCAGGGTCTCGTACCTGGTGTGAATGCATCATGGAGTGCTTTCTCGACGGAACTGCCGCCAAGTCTTGGATTTTTATTTCGTCAAAAATGTTACAAGCACGAAAGGCCACGATACTACCTGTACACTCCTCTTTCTGCCTCGGCACACGACCTTTGCACGCGTCTAGATTTGCCTGCACGTCGTCCTCCCCGGACCTGGCACTTGGCCTTACACATTGAACCTTGCGGTGTCTCATACCCTTCTTCCCGTCGCAGGCGCTGCATTTACTCCATTGGCTCACTCTCCATCTACACGTGCAACCGGCGGCGGACATGGATTTATTTACTTTACTATCAGATTCGTCGAGCGGACGCTAATGTGCGTGCAAAACGCTAGATCGATGTTTATGCGATGCTGAGTTAACATCTTATTTATCGGCGGACGTATGCGGGCATAGGTGCGTAGTACCACGTCATCGTTAAAGAAGGAACTAAGATCGATGGAGCGGAAGCCAATAGCGTTCAGAGATTTTTATCTTAACGTCGTAGGTATTATTTAAATCGTCGTTGTTGGGCGGAGCAGTGATAACTTGCATTTTCTTAATACTAGGACAATTTTTCCATTACCTCTTTTTCGTGTCGCCACAAGAGCCAGCTATTAGAAATATAAAAAAAAATCGCGAACTTTATATTACTCTAAGAATTTACATTGTCTCTCTATGAAATGCAGGTTCTATTTTATTATTAAAAAATATCACTGCACCGCCCATAATTATCTTATGCTATGTCATCGTTAAAAAAGGAACTAAGATCGATAAAACGGAAGCCAATAGCGTTCAGAGATTTTTATCTTGACGTCGTAGGTATCGTTCGAACCGTCGTTGCTGGGCGGAACAGTAATAAGCTGTAGTTTCTTACTACCAGGAAAATTTTTCCATTACTACGCGTTGTTACGAAATGCAGCTGTTAGAAGCACCGGTGTAAAAAATATCGCGAGTTTTATGCTGTATAAGAATTTACACGTTTTCTCGATAAAGTACAGCTTCTGTTTTATTATTAATTCGATCTGAAAATACTACTGTGCCGCCCACGATAAATGAATGATCTTGGTACGTGTAACCATATTACGACGCATTGTCTACATCTACGCGAAACTCACGACGTCTGGAACTCGCGGCTTACTTTGCGGGACAAGGGGCCTGATTGCAAATGCGGCTCTTTGCTTCCGGACGCGGTATACCGTCACAGAAGTTGGGCGTCACTCGCCCGCCCTGTTCCTCGATGCAGGACGCCTCGGATATCTGCGCAAATCGATGACACGTCCTTCGCATAAAAGCGGTCGCATTCGCGGTTGCATTAGGCACCCGCGTGCGCGTGTAACGTTGTCACATAAATTACCATCGTGCCACCATCGCACTTAGCGTTGCATTCTGACCACTCGATGAAGTCCCACATATACTTGGGCGTGTACGATGCATTCGCCGACCTCACGTAGTACTTGTAGTCTATTCCAGGATTGTCTTGGGGCTTGAAGAACACATACTGAAAGGCCAGAGGGACAAAAAGTTGTAAACTCGTCATACTTTCCAGCACTTTATTGATATAACGCAGTACACTAGAAATTATTAATTTTCATGAAACGACAATTATTCGGGAGCAGATAACAGTTTCAATCTACACTTTGAGAATTGCATATTTTTATCACACGCTTCAGCAATTAAAGAGCGTGTAAAAGTAAAATATTCGTAACGACTTTGCGGACAAGATAATTCTCTATAAATAAATTTACGATCTCGCGCAAACTAGAGGCTGCGGATGAAAGATGCATTCGCGGTATTAGATTTTATATATATCGCGCAAAACCGATAATTGTGTCGTGTGTACGTTATCGTCGAGATAATCGTTGGGGAATGAACATGGTTTACTTGTATCTCGATATCATCGGATATCGGGCCTTTCATTTCCACTACTTCCTTGTCCGGCTCCGGATGCGTGTAGATAATCATCGTTCCAGCGCACTCGTAATCTCCGCTCTTAAACTCGCGGCTACGCGGACGACAACGTCATAAAAGTGTACCGTAAAAATACGCTGCGCGCTTTATCAACGTTACAAAATGCATCTGCGCGTATCAATTTTCTCGGGACGTTTATGCGCGCTATGGGCGTTATAAATTAAAGAAGGGAAAGAGAGAGAGAGAAAGAGTTTGCGGAAGCTCACTTGTCTCCATTGATGCAGTATGCTTTATCTTTTTCGAGTTTCACGGCCAGTATGTTCTCGCTGGGCTTCCTCTCGGAGACCTGCACGCTCCGGGCTCCCCGCGGAATTGTCACGATCTTCACATATGCTGCGAAAAAGAGAGGGGCGATATATCACGAGAAGAAACTGCGCGACTTCATTGGACAAGCCGTGAGTACAATCTACTGAATCTTTACCGCTCTGCGACGCTGTCTCGGTAAACTCGCCCACCACCGGGCTGCATTTGGCTCCGTCGCCTTTACATATGCCGCATTTATCTTCGATTGCATCCGAGTCTATCACCCAATCGCATCCAACTTTCTACGGTGCGTGAAACATGCCGTAAGATGGACGCGACGAGTAATAATCGCAAATGCCGCGCGCGTAAAAGAATTTCTTTAAAAGATATTTTCTTTGTAAAAAAAAGGAACGGAGTATTTTCTTTAGTAGAATATGTTGGGGGCGATGGTAAATTTTGTTGCCGCTCGTTGTTTCTGTTACGTCGAGTCCTTGGTTATTTAAGTTGTACTACATGTAATTCCAGTGAATTTCCCGTTAATTAATGGCAGATAGCTAACGCTAGCTACGAACAAAGTAATTACAAACGTGTATATAAGAATTGCACGAAATTTAATTACAGTGCTACCAAATTTAATTTCGCTAGAGTAACACAAAAATTGCCATAGACGCGCAGGTATTTAACGCGCGTGCCATTAATTATTTCGAATACATTGATTTATGCGCGTGCACTTGCGCTTGATTGCAAACGTATAACCCAGGCGCAATTTTCATTAGAAAATTTCGAACCCTCGAGTCGCCTTTAAGAATATCGGTAAAATTCGATATAGAAAATTTGTAGAAATGTCGAGAAGGTTCGACATTTGTAGCTGACGGATTTTATTGGATCAGCATGGCAATCCTAACGCGGATAGTAGGGATTTCTCGGCAAGGCGTGATTCCATTCGAAAAAGTTACGATTTCACACCCTGCACGTT